TTTGTCGAAAACCATTTACTCGGAAAACATGCTTATTGACATTACATACCGCATACACTTTTCGTTTTAGCAAATATCGTTTGTGTTCGCTGTTTGATAGACTATTAACGTGCGCCTATACCTGTACGACACGTACAACTTTTCACATCTAGTAAACAGCTAACCGGATCTTTGGGTTTTTAGTGGTTCGTTCGGAGTCCGTTCTTGTAGGCCGTTCAATAAGCGAAAAAATAAATATGACAGCTCGATGCGTTTTAAACGGTTTGGCGTTTCTCGTGTTGTGCAACAGTATGCTGCTATTCGATTCCACCGCGGCAGACCCTGTGCACCAGATAGCCAAACTCTTTAGTCATCCGGCGTGGCTAGGTTTGAGTCCACTGGAAATCCTCGACGACAGTGGACGGTACCAAGGGATAGATGTGCTCGGATTACGGGATACGGTAACGGTGACAAACGTAGATGCTAAAATCTGGCAAGCCCGTCGCTTCCTGAGTTGTCAGTACACTATTGTCTATCTAACGTACGAAAAGTATTTGTACGCCCTTGGCAAAACATGCAACGGATTTTACGATTTAAGTCCCGGCAAACGGGATTGTCTGCAAAAGTTTATGCACCTATTAGATCCAGAAATTTTAGTGTCGCGCATGCAAAGTGCACTATTATTTTTGACTTCGTTATCTCAGCAAGCCGCGTTCGACGACGACGTTTTCCTTCATTTACTGACAAGGTTCGGCAAATTGTATGAAGAACTCAAAAAAAATGACGAAGACCAATTCCGATACAAAAATCGTTTACAATTAACATTCGATAAGCTGGACGATCTAAGAACGAGCGCTATTGAATTTTTCCAGAACCGCTGTGGTCCGAAGGCGCATTTAAAAGAACAGAAATTCGGCAGTTCCACGTACAGCTGGGTCAACGATATAATACACGTAATATGTTGCGAAACGCAAAACATCGTCTACCAAGTTATAAAAATATACACTATGGCCAACTACGCAATAGACGAGTTATTGATATTGAATTACACTCTGCTAGGTTTCGATTTCAACGCGCAATTAAACGCTACTGTATTGATCGAAAATCATGACTCTGCAAAACGAGTTATGCAAACAAATCTGTTGTTTACAAACACTGGCGCCTGGTCACGTCACTTGGGCGACTTGAGCATTAAGGTGGACTCCAGGGAATACGGCGTTAAAGACCTTTTGGCCACGGAAATCGACGAGGCTAATGTAGACCGGAAAGTCCGTCACGTCTACGATTTGATGAGCTGTTACTACGTTGAAATACTAAAACAGTTACTGTCGTACAACAAGGCTATAGCACGATTTTTCGACTCGGGCAGCGCCAAAGACAAATTTGTCTTTCTCGAATCATTCGTGCAAACGGTCAAAAAGAGCTATCCGGTTATAAGGTACATGAAAGACGCCGTTTTGTATGTTCAACGATTATCCCCTCAGACCTCGGACTTGCACTTCGTGAAAATTCTAAACTTCTACAAGAGTTATCTTGAAATACTAATTTTCCATGAGATAGACTTTCGTGTTGTAAAGACGAAGGAGACCGTGTATTTAGACGACAAGTTACTTGAGCAAATGTCAATTATCCTGGACAAGTTGTTAAAAATTGAAAACGAACTCGACACATACAGTCGGACGTCTTGCGTAGTACCGTCCGAAAGCACACAGAAAGAGGTTCTCGAAAACTCGCGTGAAGCTATTGAGAATCGACTCGATGGAAAAATCAATTGGTTTTTAGACACTGTGTTTCCGGAATTAGGGCTAACGCTTACAACGTTAGCATAACACGTTTTCAAGTCCGGTTACAACAAAGAAGTGAGAAAATTCGGGCTAAAACAATAACTGGAAAATATTTAACATAACAATTAATATTTACAACAATAAAATAAAATAATTCAAATCATTATAATCCGAGTGTAACATAATATTATTTAATTGAACACAATAAAATGATTTTATTAAATTCAACAATAATTTGAGCGCATTTTTTTTTATCATTGATGCGATACTGGAGAGGTATTGAATTTGTCAGAATTTGTTTTTTTTTGCTGTAGCACCTCCAAACATCCGAAATCATATGCAGCTGGTACTTTAGTCGGTTATAAGAAAAAAAGAGGCAACTCCTTTGTCCTAAGAACCGAGAAAACCCGAAAAATATAACTGATTGGTAAATAATTAAGTCACTGTATCAATAGCAGGTCATTGGTTTTATCGTGTTTAAATGGACATATTGTTCATCTGATCATGTCAATATAAAGTGGATCTAAATAGATAGAAATTGATATAATACTATGCCAGTCATGACCATGACTTTTTGTAAAACGTTAACATTCAGTTTTACTTGTTTGTACAAATAAAAGTATAATTAATACTGAGTAGTTCCATGTATAATTCACTTTGTTATGTTATGATAAATGACACTAAAACTAAAGAGAATCTAAATAAACTGATAATACAAACAACTTTTATATGGGAAAAAACTATGATAGTACTATATTAACTGATAGTTTATTTGCTAGTGATTTATGACATTTGGTTATAATAGTTAAGGAAGACTTGTGATCTCTCACTCCCTAATTTGCTCAGACCTCACTATGCTAGCTCATTAAAAAATAATTATATCTATATATTTTATAAATTTAATTTTAATAAATAAGTACTGACATATGTTATATTGAATTAACTTTTAAATTAAGCATGTTTGTTTTGAAAAATATTAAATACCTATTGAATTCATTAATCTTTATTCCTGAAAGTGATGGAACATTTTTCTTTAGGTATTTGTTTTTTTTTAACGTTAGTTTTTGGAATTAAAATTGGACCTAAAGTAACATTTGTCATAGATGTACAAAGATGTTACCTAAGATGTAACGAAAGTGCAGTAAAAATATATTACATGTAAAATTGGTTTTGTATTCTAACAGAAAGATAATTTTCTAGGACAAAAAATACCGTGGAAATTTGAAAACAACAATATGCATAATGTTATAAAGACTAATGTAGTATGTATATCAAACGGAAAAAAAATTGTTTTTCTGTGAAATATTTTCATATTTGAGACATTTGTACAAATAAGAACACTTACAACGACGACAACAGCAGAAAACACAAAAAAAAATTTCGTTTTAACAGAAATTCAATACAAATTCAATTTAAACCTATATAAAATATCTGTTTACACTTCATGTAGCAAACTGAGAAAAATTTACAATAATATACGGTTTTGATGATAAACCCCAAAATCCAAAAACATTATAAGCAGCATGGTGCATTGTAAGAAAAATCAAAATGCTACAAATAAAATATGCTTTTTAACGAATAATAGAGAATATTTTAGTACATTTTTTTTTCTAGGACCATAATTTTAAAAAATAACCAATATAACCTATTAAATAATAACGTACAAGAGAACTGGGACTGATAAATTATTCAGTCATCATAAAAATATGAAAAGCAGTATAATAATTATTATATGCCTTAATAATTGGACACTGCCGTTGGATGGAATAAAAAATAAACCGATACTAAACAAGTGTCCTATTTTGTTCCTGTAATATTGTCGTACAGTTGATGGAATTAAAACAAATTCATTACATGATTTTTTTTTTTATACTTTAGTTTGAAATCGAAATTAAGATTTTGCGAAAAATTACGTTTACCATTGTCCTTAATAACAATGGCAGGTAACGCTCTCTTAATTTTGCCTTAAGATTAACTTGTTTTGTTTAGTATTTTTGTGTGCAATTACTGACTGGTCTATAGATGGCGTTAAGAGCGTCTTGTACTACCAAGCGTTGTACTTTGGTTCCATTGATATAAGTGTCGTTTCCAGTCCTGTATTATAGTCCGTGGTTCACACTGTGTTTAGTGTGAAAACTGATAATTGATAAGCCTATTAACTGGTGGACGATAATAAAGATTAAAAATATTTTGACCATTTAATCTTTCTATTAGTCTATAAAAAAAATAATTCTACTCGTAGCATGTTTGTTAATGATATAGCCCTAATTTGAATTTCGAGGATTATAATTTATAACATACATGTTTTTATAATTTAACATTAGTAACTTATGGTATTCAATTGAATGATAAATGATTTGATGTAACTTGAACATTGAAAACTAAAATTTTGGCGGGTACTCGAAACTCGAAAGATGATAAGTGATAACTATGATTTATGATAAAAATGTTTAAATGATTATAGCATATTTTTTCGGTAGAAACGGCATATTTATTGAACGCGCAGCTGGCAACACTGGTTAAATTAAATGTATCGCCATAGGAACAATTTGCTTACATTATTGTTGCTACGGGTGAGTCGGGTCCAATTCGCGAAAACCGTTAGTTTTAATAACTTGGTCGAATTCTGTGATAATATCTAACATATTATTTCGTTTCAATTTGCGTTACAATTGAGTTTGATTGACTTGCCAGTAGTTAAGTTATTATAATTTGTAAGTGACGGCCCTGGACAGTGGTTTACGGTTCTACGTTGCGTGAGTACCTACCGTTTTGTATTTCGAATTTATTTACACTATTACCGTGTTTGCTGTCTTCCACTGACTTAGAACACTGATTGTAAATAAATGGAATCATAACCTATATTATGTGTTTGCTTATTACTTATTTATTATATAAATTATTTACTCAGAGTTGAGTCGAGTGACACGAGATCAACGCCACCGTAAATTAATCTAGTCGGCAAAATGGTCTATCGTCTAGCTTTAATCTTTATCGTGTTAGCATCATACCTACAAGTCATACTTGTAGTTTTGTGTTATGCATCTAATTTAAATAAATTAAAATCAGGCAATTTGTTGTGTTTGATTGTAAACTTTTTATTTTACCTTGTCTTTTTAATAGAAAATTAATTGTATTTTGTAACTTATAAATGTTTTAGGTAAGCTAATTTTACAATTAGTTAACAACCAGACATAGAAAAAGTATATCTATAATCTTTATACAAGTAAAACAATTATGGAAGTTAGTATGCAAAAACACTTCGAAAGAATGTATCAATTCTATAAGTAAGTCATTAATTGAATAGTTTTGTACAAGTATTATTTATTACCGTTTAACGTTTGTATTTTAATTGTAACCTTTTATTTAATATAGCTAAGTCCTGGGGTATAGGTATGCACTTTTTACTTTAAAATTTACAGGGTGATAATTTTATAGTGAACCACTCAATATCAGAATTAGTATTAAAACAAAACCAATATCACAAACTTATATCCGATAAAACCGTTAGTACATATTATCTACCTAAGTATTATTTATTTTTAATGTTTGTATTTTTATTGGGCCCTTTCAAATACTATAGCGAAGTCCTGGGGTGTAGGTTTGCACTTTTTACATTAATATATAGAAGATGATCATTTTATCGTGAACCATTCAATATCTCATAGGGTTTAATAAGAAATTAGTATTTAGTAATTCTAGTATCGGCCCATCCCTAGTTTTTATACAAAGTGATCTTAATTTTTCACAATTTTTTTTTGTTTTTCCCTTCTAACCTCTTTTTTTTTTTATGGCTTCTTTTGAAACTTAAATAGTAATGCTATGATTTCATTATCTTTTTAAATTAACAGGGGAAGTACGGGTGGTCAAAATCATTTGACCAGTCAAAATTTTTAGTACATTGTTCTCAATTTAAAAAGTTAATGAAATGTATGCATAACCATTTAAGTTTCAAAATTTGCAAGTAGAAAACAAAGACATTTGTGAAACATTAAGATCACTTTGTATAAACACATTTTTAAGGGGCCTCTACATCTGCGTTTTTTTAGTCGAAAACAACTCATTCTAATTCAAACGTACTGTTCCTAAGAATACTCCGATTTAGGTTTTGAAAAAATATTTGTATTCTTCAAAACATTTTGAAGGCATCGGTCGTGGCACAATTTTAAAATTATTTTTAGTTAATTAATTATTTCAGTTTAAAAAAGTTAAAAAATTGCATTTTTTTACATTGAAATAATTGTTTCTATACTGGAAACGACACTCATATCAATGGAACCAAAGTACAACGCTTGGTAGTACAAGACGCTCTTAACGCCATCTATAGATCAGTCAGTAATTGCACACAAAAATACTAAACAAAACAAGTTTAATATCTTAAGGCAAAATTAAGAGAGCGTTACCTGCCATTGTTATTAAGGACAATGGTAAACGTAATTTTTCGCAAAATCTTAATTTCGATTTCAAACTAAAGTATAAAAAAAAAATCATGTTATGAATTTGTTTTAATTCCATCAACTGTACGACAATATTACAGGAACAAAATAGGACACTTGTTGTTTAGTATCGGTTTAAAAATTGCATTTTTTTACATTGAAATAATTAATTAACTGAAATTAATTTTAAAATTGTGCCACGACCGATGCCTTGAAAATGTTGTGAAGAATTCAAATGTTTTTTAAAAATTTAAATCGAAGTATTTTTAAGGACAGTATGTTTGAAGTAGAATGATGTATTAAAGTGAAATTTCAATTTCAAATTTTGTGGTTTCAAACAGTTTATTGACTTGTGCCTGCGAGTGCGTGACATTCCTTATCGACCGCTATCGTCGTCGTCGCATGGCACCCGCAAATTGCAGATAAGGATATTATTTTTAGATATTTTGTCATGTTCGGTGTATAACAAAATACTATTAAAACGAGAATCATTGGCAGGGCATTGCAATTTATACTGAATTGTAAAAATGATCGTTTTTCTACAATTAAGACTAGCGTTGTTGATGTTATCCATCGTCAGGTCGTCTTATACTCACACAATTCATATTATATTTTTATATAATTTATATTTCATATAATAATGAATAATAAGTCTACTAGGAAGTATTAACCTAAGTATAGAAAACCCTTATCTCGCAGGATAAAGAATAAAGGGAATTTAAATTCGCTGAATAAAAAAAACTGTCCAGAGAGAAGTTAGATCATGCTCCGTGAGTTACATAATATTATGTCTTGATGATTAAAACGAGTCCTTATGTATTATATTTTTAAGAACGGCATATTTTACCAAAAAAACAATTTTTCGAAGCTATTGTAGCTTCGATGCGTAGTTGAGAAGGTATTGTGTTTACAATGATGTGTTTTTATTTGTATTTATTTTTGTTTTTTGTGTCTGGACGTATCTACTATGCCGTTAACCGATTTCTTCATGTACTTACTTTATATATTAGAAATCTAATCTAAAAGTTAGTTTCTTGGGGCAAAATTTTTGAAAGTTCACCTCTTCCCCTTCAAAATTGGGAAAACACATAAAAATGTACATATTACATATTTATTATAACTTTTTTTAAAAATAGTCGATTTTGTTCCGAATTTCTATGGAATATTCTTCGGATAAAGTACTATACAACGTAAACGGAAAAACGTTGACAAACCAAAAAAATATCTTTATATATTAAAATTGTATTAATTTGTTATTATAGTTATAATTAAAATCTTCATCAATAACTGCTAGTCTGTTGTGTTATTATATTTGTCAAAAGTAAGTAAGTAAACTCGTAATTTTTAATGTCTAGTAATAATCGTTATCTTCGTGCTTCTGTTTGTCAGTGTATAAACTCCTACAGAAATAATATAAATGCGACCCCAGATACAATTAAAGTAATATCATTTACCTGTCCGCGCGTTAGGCGATCAAATTTTAGATAGTATGCAATCAATAATAGTAAGTTATTATCTTGTTATCGCACTTTCGCGGTCGCGACTCCGTATACGGAGAATTATGATGTATATATATTATATACATAAAATTGCTCACCAACACTAATGTTCATTTACGAGTAAACAGTTACTAACACAGTGACAAAATGTTTTTTTGAAATTGCCTATACAATACTCCTTAATAAATGCTGGTGTAGAGGCCCCTTAAAAAAAAAAAAACTAAATTTCTTATTAAACCCTGTGAGATATTGAGTGGTTCATGATAAAATTATCACACTATATGTATAAAAACATTTTTTTTTAAATTTCGGGTTTAAAATAACCCGTTATTTTCTTCAAAAAACCCGCCTTGCGCGGAATAATTTTACAAAGGTTGTAAAGACTGTAATCAAAACTAAGAAACCAAATGTTCACATAATATAGACAACAACATTGTCTGTGTTCTACCATCTCCCTTATTTTTAAATCACTGTCAAGGATGCTGTGATAAATAATTTAACTACTAACAAAGAGTCCTAACTACTGAACTCATAGTTACACATCACAGTTTTTTAACCTTTAGGTTAAGAATTTGTAAAAAATTGCCTATACTTTACTCCTTAAAAATGGGCGGTGTGGCGTCCTTTTAAATACTTTTACTATTATTACATTAGGTGGATAAATTATTTAAGAATGTACTTCATTTGTAAATTAAAAAAACAAATGGTATTAATTGAATTTTAATATCTTATTATTCAGATCTTTCATTTCACTTTGGCTATTTCAAGTTTTTTAATAATAAAATCATATAGTTATTTATAACTACTAATGAAAATAAATACATTAATACGGATTCCTTTTTTTTAGGGACAAAGAACTTTGTGATATAACCTTAGTTACCAATGAAGGCTTAAAAATAGAAGCACACAGAAATATATTGGCCTCTGCGAGTCATGTATTTTATACAATGTTCATTGGAAAGTTTAGAGAAAGAGTCGAAAATGAGATTCTTATAAAAGAAATAGATTCTGAAATTTTAGAATTGGTGGTCAAATTTGCATATACTTTTAAACTGGATATCAAAGAAAACAATTGTGTGGTAGAAAATATGCAATAGTATTTACAATTTATAAAATATTTTTTAATTATTTGTTGTTACATTTTTTAGAAACTGTTGATAGCTGCTGATATGTATGGTTTAAAATATATACAAGAGTTATGTTTTCAATATATTAGAGAAAACATAAATTACACAAATCTTGTTAGTTTTATGAAAACTTCTAAATTAATATCAGACGAAAAGATTTACAATTTTTGTTGGTCATATTTTTTAACCCACTTCATGTGAGTAATCGGTTGCAACAATGATCGCAAATTTTTTTTTAAATAATCAAATAATAAAACATAGATTTTTTTTAGTACAATTGTAAATTCGGATAAAGCATTAGAAACACTTTATGACTTTGAGTTTGATGATGTTGTCGTGTTTATTGCGCATGATAATTTAGTAATTGATTCTGAGGAAAAGGTATAATTATTGTACCTTATAAAGAAATAAAAAAAAATGACTTATTTTTATGTTTGTTCTTTTGCAATTATTTAATAATAATTTTTGAGTTTATTTTAGGTATTTGATTTTATCATAGGTTGGATACGCTATAACATAGATGAACGTAATGACTTGTTATCGGTTCTTATGAAATATTTACGTTTGCCTTTAATTTCAAAAAAAAGACTACAAAGGATTTATGATGAACCATTAGTGAGAAATAATAATGATGGTATGTATATATGTTGTTGATATTCTAATCAAGGCTGCATTTAATCTAAATTTTTGCCCTTTACTTGTACATACAATAGCACCTTTAGGTGATATATAACCATTGAACCGACCACGAAGAGCATTTGGTGTTTGTACTTACAAACAGTATGGACCGAAATTACTGAACCAATGCCCATGCTCGCCCGAAACAGTATTTAATAACAAATTATATGTTGTAAGTAAACACAATTTAACTCTAAATGCCATGCCTAACTACTAAACAAGTTTATAATGATATGTTATTATTTGTAATACAAAAATAATTGTAAAATATTCATTTAACTAGCTTTTATTGTTTGTAATCGTTTTAATGTAGTTTTATTGTTTTGTGTAGTTTGGTGGACTTAGTGGGCGTAATCATAGTTCTCTTGCATCTGTAGAACACTATGATTTTGAACAGAAACACTGGGAACAACTCGATCCTATGCCGATATGTAATTATGGCATGGGCATATCGAGAAAAGACAGAGTCATTTATCTCATTGGTGGTTTTAACGCTCCTCGACGAGTTTTTAAATTCGACTTGCAACATTTCAAATGGGATGAAATACCTAAAATGATGAACATGGAATGTGATGAAGATTGCTCAGGTCTGTATGTATTTCATCGAGTATACAATTCATTTTTTTACTCATAAATATTATAAAATGCAGGTGTTGGTGTCATGAAAAACGACCTATTCGTGTTTGCAAATAATGGAGGAAGACTTCATTATGAAAGATATGACAGAGGAAAAAATCAATGGCAATTGTTTAACAGGGTACGAACGTCATCATCTCCAACAAGTCATATCATTACATTTAATGATATTTTTCTTAAATCCTGTGGTATTCAATTATAGTACTATTTTTTTTAAAATAATATCTTTTTGTGAACTCAATTTAAATTGTCTTAAAATCATTTACACATTTTGTGGTTGATGATTCATTTACCATGATAATAATCAGGAGCATAAAGTTATCATAATATAGGTAATGTTATTGTAAGTAAAAAGATTAAAAATTGTTGTGTAAACATTTGTTACTGAAAAATTTGGTAATAAGCTTTTAACCGTTGATTTAACTTAAGTTGAATTTTTTTTAAAGTAACTTTACTTGCTCGAGTTAATTTTTTATAATTTAAGAATGTAGCTAGTGCAACTTTAACTAGATAAAAACAAGTATCTTTGCCCAACTGTGCCTAAAAATAAATAGGCAGAAAGCGAGGAAAGAAATGTTTAAATGTTATAACTTAATTAAAAAATTTTAATGTTTTGTCGGTTACTTAAAACCTTTCTTCTATAATAGCTCACGCTTTTTCGATACATCGTCATTTTTCTATTAAATTTAAATTAAGCTCTTATTTAGAAAACTATATTATCAAATACTACTTGATAGCTAATTTAACTTCAAAAATAAGAAGGGACAATTACATTTTAACTTTAATAATATGTTTTTAAAAGTTCAAACAAGGTAGTATGCAAAACGTAAAGTATTAAATAGCTAAATTTAATAAATACTTTCATCGTGCTAAATGCACCAGTATGTCTCTTAAGTGACAAAAAATACAGTATTAAGAGTAAAATAAATAAACATGCGCATCATGTAACGGAAAGCCAGTTTATTGATTTATTTTAAGTACAACAAATTAAGTTTATACATATTGCACATGATATCTGGTTGGTCTATGGCATTTTTGAGATGGAGAAATACGAGTTGAATTAACAGCTCTGGAACAAAAAAGTAACATTCATTAGTTAATAATGAATCAATTGAATACAAGTGAAATAACTTTAAATATCTAAATTATCCATGTTAAATATTACATAAGACAATAGATTCAATATTGATGGACTTCCAGAGATTTAAAGACTATAGTGTATTGTGTTATTTTTAATACGATGGGGTTCAACAAAAATAGATTGTGATAGCTTTAGCCTTTAATAGTAAAAAAGACACACATACATAATATTGTTGAACGATAACTTGATTACTAAATATTGTAAGTAGATAAAAAAAAACACAATTTTATGTTGAACCCCATTGTTTCTCCAAACAACTGTAAGTGGTTCATATACACTATACAGCTATATTTTCCCATTGAATTAACTTTTAAAAATCAATTTTTCATTGAAATAGCCATATTACCATAACTTATAAATATTTTTAAAATTAAAAGAAAAGACTCTGAAAGCTGAAACTTTTACTTTAAAAATGCTCTTCTAGAAATTTGAATTTATTGATACAAAAAACTTGATTAAATTAGAAAAATAGTTTAAAAATATGTATAGGTATATTTTTATTCATCGTTTATAGTAGACAAATTCATTGGAACTAATCGGAGTTAAACTACCAATTCACATATTGCATATTGCATAGGTATTTAAGAGGTACAATAAGTGTCAGCTTTAAGAATCTTTTTTTAAATTCAAAAAATGATAGTTTTGAAGTTATGAAGATTTTGATTTAAAAAAAACGCGTAAATTAAAGGGGAAAATATGGCTCTAAAGAAACCACTCTGAGTTGTCCTAGAAGGCTGATATTTTAAACTTAGGAAGTTTTAAGTTTAGAAATTAAATAGAATTTAAAAAATACTAAAATTATAAACTTAAGTGTACTCAAATAATAAAACAAACTGATGATCATGGCCATAAGTAATTTTTAAAAGGAATATTGTGGTTAATAATTTAAAAGATATAGGTGTATCTAAATAAAGGTGATATAAGATTACAAAATCAGCTTAATTTTACACTTACCATATTGTATTGAGAAACTTGGGGTTGGGCCTTGGTGACGGTTTTGGCCGATTTGGCGGATTGCACTTGTCCGACCACAACAATGTTCATGGATACCTTTTCTGCGCCCATTTTTGATTTTGGTTCGTGGAGAACTTTGAGAATAAATACTAGAAATCAGAACATAAATTACATAGCAGTTTAATTTTCAAATCCAATACATGTTTTAAATATAAAAAATAAAAAAATTGTAATATAAAAAATATTATTTCAAACTCACCAGTAATAGTTAGAAAACAAAAAAATTGTATTATGCTTGAACTAAGGAGTCTACACACTATTTATATGCTTTAGATATCGCGTGAGTAAAGTGGCGTGATGTGTTCTGGCCATAATAACCATATCCAATGATCACATTCTGATAAAATGGTCTCATCTGTATTTGAAAAAAAATGCAGAAATTTATCCTACAAACAATGGTTACGTTATCAATAACTTAAGAGTGTAGGTACTAGAGCTGAGACCTCGAATCGAATTTTTCTATTCGAATTATTCGAATAGTAATCAAATAATTCGAATTTTCGCATGAAAAAACTAAAAAGAACTTCTTAATCTAAGAGGTAATATTTATTTTGTCAAATTTATGTTTTTTTGTAATTATATATCTATATAAATTGTTAAAATCTTATTTGTTGTAATAAGTAATAATATTTATTATGTCAAAAGAATAATTCGTTATAATTATATTAATTTTGTTAAAAAATTATTAAAAATAGATCAAGGACACCTCAGTTGTCTCTTAATTATTTTTTTTAATCTAATTAATCCTGCAAAGAAAATGATAAAAATATTTGAATATTCGTGCGAATAAAGTATTCGAATATTCGAATAGTCCCACCACTAGTAGGTACATCCACACAAATGATATAGTTATTTACTACAGATTAATTTTACTTTCTAAAATTTAACACATTATATTTTAAAGGTTCAGAGCAATCATATAATATTTATTATAATTTTAGCTCTTCTTATTCAAAATTTATGATTTATGAAATACACAGAATATTTTTTTCAAATTGAGACCTCTTTCACCCAGCAGGAGGAGAAAACCCCCATTCAGGAGGTAGCAGTATGCAAAATGAAAAAAAAAACCATTTTGACACACCCTAGTATACATATTATACTTAAAAATAAAACTAAGAAAGGTGTAGAGGCCCCTAAAATGATTCACAACCGGTAACCTGTAACAATCTTATCTATTTAAACCGGTGTTATCATAAACAAACAATTGATATGATAAGAAAATAAAATAAACACTGAAGTACGAGAATTATAAAAAAGTTACTCCTTTTTATGTGTCATTTGCTATATTAACGTTTGCTGAATTAAGTTGGGCGTTTTTAAGACAAGTCTAAAAATCTGAAAACATAAATAAGTAAGTCGCTATTTAATTGTTCTAATTTCTAACTTAGTAATATGTATTTACATCATTTGACTTTTGCGTCCCCGATTTTACCGATTTATTTTACTCCAAATTGTCCACCAAAACAATATAAAATTAAATTTACATTAAACAAGTATTGAAAAGTCTTTTTATCTGTTTTTAAACTATAGTCGGATCACTTGTTTATGAGTACAGTTTTCTTTTCGTAGAATGAAAATAATCGTTTAATGTAAAATAAATAAGATGAATTTTTATAATATTTACACCTAAACATTTTAAACTTAGATAAAAGTTGATAACGTTTTAAAAACTCAAGTTATTTAACTAGTATTTAACTAAGTGTAAAAAAACTATTAATCAAAGATCCAAAAGTCATCTTGTATTGTGTTAAACTTGACTTGAAACTGATATATTATGTTTTAGGAAAGGCTAATATTACAATCACTAAACAAACTACTTTACATAGAAAAAGTACATTTATAAAATAACACAAGTACAACAACTATGGATGTTAACATGCAAGAATATTTCAAAAACTTTTATCTATTCTTAAAGTAAGGCATAAGTGAGCTGTTATTATTTAATATGCTACGCACAATTATTATTATCGATTAATGTTTTTATTTTAATGCGCATTTTCAAGTAGCGTACCCGGTCTCCGTGGTGTATGCACTTTCTTAATTATTGTTCACATATATTATTTAAACTGTTGCGGAAAATTACAACAATTTCCTGTTAAATATTAGAAAACCAATATTATAATAAAAATAATAATTGTACCAGTACAGTGGAGTTGAACACTAATGAAAATAAATACATTAATATGGATACATTTTTCTAGGGAAAAAGAATTTTGTGATGTAAATTTAGTTACCGATGAAGGCTTACAAATAGCAGCACACAAAATTATATTAGCTTCTGCGAGTTGTGTATTTTATACGATGTTCAATGGACAGTTTAGAGAGAGAAATAAAAATAAGATTCTTATAAAAGGCATGGATTTTGAAACTTTAGAATCAATTGTTAATTTTGCGTACACGTTTAAACTTGATGTTAAACAAAATAATTTTGAGGTAAAAAATACATAGTAGGATTTACAATTTATAAAATATATTATTATAACTCTATTGTTAATTAACTAATATTATTATTTTTTTTAGAAACTATTGATGGCTGCCGAAATGTATGATATAAGTGGTATAAGAGAATTGTGTTTCAAATATATTAAAGAAAACATAAATCCTACAAATTGTGTTAGTATTATGAAGATTACCGAGTTAATACAATTGAACAAAGAAATTAATAGTTTTTGTTGGGCGTATTTTTTAAATAATTTCACGTGAGTTATCTGGTTTGACGTAAGATTGTAAATATTTTTAAAATAATAAAACATTACATTTTTATAGTATGATTGTGAATTCGGCTTTAGAAGCGGAACTATATGGGTTTCCAATTGAAGATGTCCTTAAAATGATTAAACATGATGATTTAGTAATTGATTCTGAGGAAAAGGTTGTTATTCTAGATAAACATTAAAAATATTGTCGAATTTTGCATAACCCTTAACTTGGTAAGGGCTTACTTTTAAAAATCAAAAATAATAAAATGATGCTAGTAATTTTTAGATTGGATGTGGAAAGTTATGAAATTTATGTATTTTTAATGATACAATGCCAAGTTAAGGAATGATTTTTGTAACTTTTTTTTAGAAAAATGGTTTATTATAATATAAACCATAAATATATTATTATAATATATAATGTATATTGATAATATAAACACTTGTTTTAGGTATTTGATTTCATCATTGGTTGGATAAGCTATAACACAAATGAACGAAAGCATATGTTTTTGGATCTAATGAAATGCATACGGTTGCCTTTAATTTCAATTAAAGGACTTAAACGGATTTGTAATGAACCATTGTTATCAAATAACAAAGATTGTAAGTATACAATGATATTTCAATCGGGGTTTACATTCGCTCCACATTATTGTTTTATATTTGTCAATTCAATAGCCTACCATTTAAATATATATTATTGTTGTGTCTTAAAAAAAAATACTCACAGTTTTTTTTTTTTAATGTTATTTATATTTAGTTATGATGGACATGTTAAAAGAAATGAACAATACAAAACCTCTAAATACACAACGAAGAATTCCTGCGTCAAATGTATGTAGACATAATATTAAAACTATATATTTACATGTTATAGGTACACTATTGTATTAGTTCTGTGCTTGTGTCACCTGACAATTTGTACATATTTGTATTTAGATTATTGTTGCAATTAATGGTCCTATCCCTGGAGAAGATTCCTGTGTAAAGTATATGGATATTAAAAACTGTGATGACTTAAAATGGAAATCGAGCGATCAATTATTTTTTATTCCTCTCCGTTTTCTAACAACGATGGTACTCTCGGAAAATGGGATAATACTTGCCGTTGGCGGGTTAGATGAGTCTGGTAATCATGTCAATCTTGTAGAAGAGCTTGATCTTAAGTCAAAATCAAAACAATGGATTTCTACGAGGCCATTGATTCAACCACGAAAAGATTTTAGTGTTTGTACTCACAAGCAATACGTCTATGTTGTACGTATTCATTTTATCGTAGTTTATATAACGAAAACACATTGATTACAAGATAAATTTTTTTTTTTTGTATGATATAGGTCGGAGGCACTGATTTCTCAAGTGTGAATCTGTCGAGCTCTGTAGAATATTATGATATAAATTCAAAAGTATGGACCGAAATTATTGAACCAATGCCCACTGCTCGAGCCTACAGCGGCTCCACAATATTTCATAATAAATTATATGTTGTAAGTAAACACATTTTTACCATAAAAACCATGCATAACTACTACATAAATTTCTACTTATATTTTATTAATTTGTATAACAAACTAATAATTATAAAATATTCATTTTGCTAAGTTATTATGGTTCATAAAAATGTAATCAAGTATTATTGTTTTATGTAGTTTGGTGGATATTATGGTGATTTTCTTGCGACTGTAGAATATTATGATTTTGAAAAGAAACACTGGAAACAACTCGATCCTATGCCGATTTGTAATTATAACATTTGTATATCACGAATAGAAAACGTCATTTATCTCGTTGGTGGTCGTAGAGCACCTAAACGAGTTTTTAAGTTTGATTTACAACATTATAAATGGTTTGAAATGCCTAACATGAACATGGACACATTTGGAGATTGCTCGAGTCTGTATATATTTATTCAAGTAGGTATGTTATACATTATTTTACTCATAATTATTTTTAAATGCAGGTGTTGTTATCATGAAAAACGACTTATTCGTGTTTGTGAACGATGGAGGAACAGTTCATTGTGAAAGATATGACAAAGAAGAAAGACAATGGAAATCGGTAGACAGTGCAGGAAAGCAAACATACAAATTTTGTAATATGATTACTTTTAATGATATTGCTCTTAAATCCTACGGTATATACTTATAATACTATTTTTTTATATTATTTTGTTGTTGATGATACTTTGGGAGAACTTCATTGTGTAAAAATATGGCATATAGTTGACAGGGCTAGAGAGCTATCGAATGATTTTTGTTAAAATATTATGGCTTGTAATGATGTCACATATCATGGTATTCACATAAAATATGATTTTTTTATTAATAAAATCTCATGAGTAAAAAATCTCATGTTCTAAAATTACTTATTCATTTTTTTGGCCTTTAATTCTGATTGCAAACTATACTGTTCCGTACTTACGGCATAAAGTAGTTAGGTGATACGAAAGTTATTTTTAATTATGATAGTAACACAATCAGAACAATCATTAAAAAACTTCATGAGTCTTTTCCCTTTTGCAAACCATGCCTTAAATTAATCATATATAGGTAATGTAAGAACCACAGACTAAATAAACGTCAAAAATGTATTCATTCGTGGTAAGGTTATACGTCAATGTACTACATAGTCCATTTTGGTAGAAAATCTTTTATAGTTTATACAAAATTACATAATATCATGCATAAAAAACACTGATTAAACGCAATTAATCAGATCACCAAATTAATGTCGAACGTCGTAGGACCACCGACTACGTCATCTTTGGCGAAGGAATCGTCCGTAGACTCCAAACATCATCTACCATCAGTGACCAGTATGGCGGTACTTGTATTTTTAATTCAAACGGTGCCAATCAAATGTTGACACCTAAAAAGAATAACATAATAAGGAAATTGATAAATAATTCTATCCTATTGATCTTAATGAAATTGATAAATGTCCAAATCGTTAACTTGCAGCCACCTACAGAAATAAAAAAACCAACTCAAATCACCGAAACGTAAAATATATAAAATTGTTAAGCAGTTATTAAGCGTCTTTCTCTCTTTCCTCGAATAAATTTAAAAATGTATCGTAGTACTTAATTACATTGTATAAAAAATATAAGAAAAAAGATCAGTCAAGGAAAGTCCATTAAAAGGGATACACATTTCTCCTTTATATCACTTCTTCAAGAAAAGTAGATCTAGAATGGAACTAAAACATTACAATTTTCTCAAAATTCTGTGGTCAAACCTTTCCTTTATTAAGGAAAACAAAAAAAATTACGCTTTGGCCGTTGATAATTTTCAGGTTTCCAATTTAAAAACCTAATTGTTATTAGATGCAATGTTTTTATCAATATTTTAATTTTTATCTGTGAACACCGGATCTTCCTTACTTACTACTACTACTACTTCTACTACTGACTACTACTAATCACTTACTTATAATTCTTTCTTATTGTGCTGGTATATACTGTGCTTGGTTTGGATTTACTGTTCACCGATTCGCATCAAAGCGTTTATTTAAAAGTGATTTTATCACTTTCAGTTATAATAATTCCTGTAGATCTATGACCTCCCCACTGTACTGGCTTACTTTAGCACCTTTTTTTTCGTTGTAATTATATTAAATATTAATTTTACAAGTGTGGGGCCTGTAATGTATTTTAACACAATCGGCGAAAGGTGTTTCCAAAACGTATAAAGACTTAGGTAAACGCATTTATACATTTTATAGGGTGTCGAATGTCGATGAAGGTAAACTTACAACAAGCTTTGAAACCTAAGTTGGGAATTTGATCTGTTTCCCTCCTACAACGCGCGACAGTTTGCCTCCACGCTGCGGTGTACCTCGCCCATGGTTATAACCGTGGTCATGGTTATAACCGCTACCACGCCTGTGGCAATTACTAGTTATCTCACAAACACACACTATCACAAATCTGTCTATACAATTTCTGTGTAAACAAACCTACAAATTTTGTTGTTGTTAATAATTGAGATTTCGTTTTGTACACTCTAAATTTCTGTAAATTATTACTAGTTAATGTAGATTTAGCGCCATAGAAACAATTTGTTTTCATTGTTGTTGCTACAGGTCCGGCTCGTGAGAATCTTGAATTTTATGATAAATATTGCGTAGTGTTTCGTTATTTCGTTTCAATTTGCGATACAATTTCATAATTTTTAATTTCATACAAGATTTTTTTTCTCGTTAACAATTTGAGGTACAGTTTTATTTAAAATCAGGCAATTTGTTGTATTTGATTGTAAACTTTTTATTTTACCTTGTCTTTTTAATAGAAAATTAATTGTATTTTGTATCTTATAAATGTTTTAGGTAAGCTAATTTTACAATTAGTTAACAACCAGACATAGAAAAAGTATATCTATAATCTTTATACAAGCAAAACAATTATGGAAGTTAGTATGCAAAAACACTTCGAAAGAATGTATCAATTCTATAAGTAAGTCATTAATTGATTAGTTTTGTACAAGTATTATTTATTACCGTTTAACGTTTGTATTTTAATTGTGGCCTTTTATTTAATATAGCTAAGTCCTGGGGTATAGGTATGCACTTTTTACTTTAAAATTTACAGGGTGATAATTTTATCGTGAACCACTCAATATCAGAATCAGTATTAAAACGAAACCAATATCACAAACTTATACCCGATAAAACCATTATTACATATTACCTACCATTGATTATTTGTTTGGTATCAGTCCAAATATCAGTTTCCAAAAAAAAAAAAACAATATTAATAAAACGGATACTACTAATATCGTCTGATATCTAGTATCAGTTCTAGTATTGACACACCCCTAGTTTTTATACAATGTGATCTCAATTTTTCCATAATTTTTAAACTTTTTATTTTTGATACTAAAATAGTAACTCATTAAATTCATTAACTTTTTAAACTAAGAATAACATAATTAAGATTTTTACTGGTTAATAACCTGTTTTCAAATTATAAGAGTTTAAAAGTTAGGACAGGAAGGGAAGTGCACGCAGATTAAAATAATACTATACTCCACCTTTCTTCCTGCCCTAAACTTTTAAACTCAGACAACTTCAACAATAATTAATCCAAAACTGGTTATCGACCAGTCAAAAATTTAAGTACATTATTCTTAATTTAAAATGTTAATGAAATGTATGCATTACCCTTTAAGTTTGAAAACTGTTATCAAATAAAGTAAGTTTGGAGGGGGGTAAAATTATGGAAAATAATATTGAATTTCTTATTATACCCTATGAGATATTGAGTGGTTCACGATTAAATGATCACCTTAATATATAAATATATAAAACTTTTTGGGGTAAATACTTTTGCTATTATTACAACATTAGGTGAAACAATAATTAAAAATGTACTTTATTTGTAAAAAAAATAAAAACAAATAATGTTACTGAATTTTAAAATCTTATAAATTCAAATCCCTCATTTAAAAATGATGTATAATTTTTTTTACATATTCAAAATATCAAAACGTATACTTTGGCTATTTCAAGGGGCTTTGTCTAATTAAATTTTGTTTGTTTTTGGTTTACACTACAAAAAAAAGAAAAACAAAGTTTTTTAAACACTATTATCGATATTTATTTAATTCTCATAATTCTCAATATTTTTTTTTTTTTTTGAGAAACATTATTAAAAAGGTTTTTATTCCACATTTATGTATACTTATTGTATATTTAATATTGCTTTTCAGAAAACGTTTTACTCAAATATGAATCGTGTAGCCATTTATAAATACTAATGCAAATAAATAAATTAATACTGATTTATTTTTATAGGCACAAAGAATTTTGTGATGTAACTTTGGTTACAGATGAAGGCTTAAAAATTGAAGCACACAGAAATGTATTGGCTTCTGCGAGTCATGTGTTTTATAAGATGTTAAGTGGGCATTTTAAAGAGAAAAACGAAAATGAGATTCTTATAAAAGAAATAGATTCTACAATTTTAGAATTGGTGGTCGAATTTGCATATACTTATAAACTGGATGTTAAAGAAAACAATTGCGAGGTAGAAAACACGCAATAGGATGTACAGTTTATAAAATATATTGTTATAATTCTATTGTTATTTACCTAATAATATTATTTTTTTTTAGAAACTATTGATGGCTGCCGAAATGTATGATGTAAGTGGTATAAGAAAATTGTGTTGCAAATATATTAAAAAAAACATAAATCCTACAAATTGTGTGCGTTTTATGAAAAAGTCCAAATTAATATCAGACAAAAATATTTACAATTTTTGTTGGTCATATTTTTTGAAATATTTCTTGTGAGTAATCAGGTGCGACAAATGATCGCAACATTTTTTTTAAATAATCAAATAATAAAAAAATTTTTTTTAGTATAATTGTGACATTGGATCAAGCGTTAGAAACACTTTATGACTTTGAGTTTGATGATGTTGTCGAGTTTATTGCACGCGATGATTTAGTAATTGATTCTGAGGAAAAGGTATAATTATTGTAACTGAAAAAGGAATAAAAAAATTACTTATTTGAATGTTGGTCCAATTACAATTATTCAATATTAAGTTAAGATTTTTTTTTTTTTATAGATATTTGATTTTATTGTTGATTGGATACGATATAACACAGATGAACGTAATGGCTTTTTACCGAATTTTATGAAATATTTACGTTTACCTTCAATTTCAAAAAAAGGACTACAAAGGATTTATAATCATCCATTAGTGGGAAATAATACCAATGGTACGTATATACTGTTGATATTTCAATCGAGGGTGCATTCAATCTAAATTGTTGCCCTTTACTTGTACATACAATAGCGCCTATAGGTGATATATATTATTGAGGTGTCTTTTAAATAAACATTATTATTGTTATGCTTTATTAGTTATGAGAGGAATATTAGACAATATCACCAAAACTTACATCAAATCAAAACCACCAGTTACTCTTGGAAGATGTACTCAAGAATCATCAAATGTATGTAGATATTTTAAAACTAAATTTTTACACGGTACAGGTACAAAGTGTACTAGTTTTGTGCTTATATCACCTGACATTTGTATATATGTGTATTCAGATTATTTTTGCAATTAATGGTGATTTAACCAGTGGCGGTTCCTCTGTGAAGTATATGGATATTAGAAACGATAATGACTTAAGATGGAAATCAAGCGAGCATTTATTTTTTTTGCCTCCCCGTAAAGATACAACGATGGTAGTCTCTGAAAATGGGATAATACTTGCCATTGGTGGTTTAAACGAGTCTGGTAGATTGACCAATCTTGTAGACGAGCTTGATCTTAAGTCAGAATCAAAACAATGGGTTTCTACAAGGCCATTGAACCGACCACGAAGATCATTTGGTGTTTGTACTTACAAACAGTACATATATGTCGTAAGTATTAATTTGATTGTAGTTAACACAACAAATACACATTGTATACAAGAAAATATATATATTTTATTCGTATGATATAGGTGGGAGGCTGTGATTACTCAAATTGGAAAAGTTCGAATTCTGTAGAATACTATAATACAAATTCAAAAGTATGGACCGAAATTACTGAACCAATGCCCACTGCTCGCTCCGAGTGTAGTGCTGCAGTATTTAATAATAAATTATATGTTGTAAGTAAACACAGTTTAACCATAAATACCATGCCCAACTATTAGACAAGTTTCTACTCATATTTTATTAATTTGTATAAGAAAAAAATTGTAAAATATTCTTTTAACAAGCTATTATGGTTTGTAAGCATTTTAATCAAGTTTTATGGTTTTGTGTAGTTTGGTGGACGTAATGAACAAAGTAGTTCTAATCGTGGTTCTCTTGCAACTGTAGTATGCTATGACATTGAAAATAAACACTGGAAACAACTTAAACCAATGCCCAAGTGTAATTTGGGTATGAGTTTATCAAGAATAGATAACGTCATTTATCTCATTGGTGGTAGTGCTGATGAATCATGTGTACAACGAGTTATGAAGTTTGACTTACAAAATTTCAAATTTGATGAAATGCCTAACATGACCATGGATTGTAAATTGGGTTGCGCAAGTCTGTATTTATTTAATTAAGTACAAATTACATTTTTTTTATTAATTAACATTATAAAACGCAGGTGTTGTTATCTTGAAAAACGACTTATACGTGTTTGTGAATAATGGACGAGAACTTCATTGTGAAAGATTTGACAAAGAAAAAAATCAATGGCTATTGGTTGACTCATCAGAAAACTTATTATACTCAATATATCAACCTATCATTACTTTTAATAATGTTACACTGAATTATTGTTATGGTATTCACCTATAATACTATGTTTTTGTGTTAATACCATTTTGTGTACTCAATTTAGTCTTAAAAATATTAAATGACTTAAATTGTTTTAAAATGTACACAATTTGTTGTTGATGATTTATTTGTATTTGAATTCAAATCTGTTTAAGATTCCTTATAGCATTAGTTGATCGATTGTTACTGCGAACGACAGTAGTTACGTTTAAACTGCTATGTCGGTCATGAGTTTGACAGAGACAGGAATAATCGGTACCCAATTAGCAATTAATATCAATATCCACCATCAGATAATATCGTTATTATTATTTTGGAATTTTTTGTGGTTTCCGTTGTATAGGTAGTTGTGTTTATTAATGTAGATCCAATAGCCTGAGTTCCTGATATTATTATCGTCGGTAGCATAATATCTATACAATCCACTAAGCTTGGATGAAGATTTGCGAGGGATTTTACTCCCAGACATACCTAATAATTTATTAACACTATAATATATTAGACTTTACTAACAAAGTTGTAAAGAACACTGCTATGAGTACGTTGTCGAATCCATTTCGAATATAGTAGTATAAATACATTTTTTGATGTGACCCCCACTATTCTGGTTTATTGTATCTAATGTCCAGTTTTGTACTTTAACTTAACTTTACACACATGTACTTGTTAACAGTCCAAACAAATAATAATATATCAATAAAAAGTGACTCTATCGGACACAAACTGTTACACCTACATTATATTATATATATTACTTCAAAATATTGTAAACAAAATTAATTGATACTAATATGATATCGTTTCTACTAATTCCTATAACACCTTTTGGATATCTCCATCCAATATTGCAATATTGTATATATATATATATTGTATACATCTAATATCGTTATTATTGTGTTCAGTAATTGTATATTTAGTTTCTATCGCGGAAACGTACTCATAACATATTCTATGCTGTGTCATTTATTTGTCTTGTGCTATTAAAACTATTTATTGAAATAAGAAAAAAAAATGTACTTTGATAATATTGTGACGTTTAGTGTACTTGTTCAAACGGTCACCTATTGTATACACAATTTCATGTAAAAAAATATGCATCCAAAAACCAAAACAACATCATTTAATTTGATTTTAAAACTTTATTAATTGCTTCCCACAAGCTATTCTTAAATAGTTTACATACTTTCATCACTAATATTAACACCAAAGAGTTTAGTTAAAAGCAATTAAAAAAAAAAACATTAAATAAATAAATACATTAAAATAGTTGTTTTAAAAACATTTGATTAGGTTGAAAATTAACGTTCTTCAATTTTAACAAGATTTCAAATCGTATTTATTTGTTTTGAGTCTATTGCAGTTTCTATTAAGCCTGTGTATGTTGATATTGTTGTACCGAGTTCTAAGCAGATATCTGTTATTAATGCTCCAAATTCGTTTTTAGTTATCGTTACTGAAACAAAACAAAAACTTTCTTTTAACTTGAAAACGAAACATCAATTTATTTAAATTGTTACAATACAAACAGCAGTTAAACACCGCACAACTGACTAAAAAATTACAACAATACCATTTCTATTTTACGTTAACTCCATAGTATAAACAGTTTTTTCAAAATTATTCTTTAATGATAAATTAAGTAAAATTAATGTTTACTTTTATCTGCCGCATCGACAAGATAACGTTGTTGTTGTACCACAAGCAGCACAGTTTTTTCGGTATTTGTGGCCTTGCCCACATAATCCATAAACTGTCTCAAAGTAATGCCAGTGATTTGAATATTCCTTTGGTGTTGATTGACATGTGTCAAAATCTTTAATAAAGTGCGATCTAGTATCTGAAATTTAATTACACATATCATTTTTTACACGTCGTTACATAAAAAACTGATAATACAATTTTAATTCGTTTAAACTAGAGATCAACAAAAATCGAACAACCATTAACGTGATACAAGCCAGAGAACCGAATAATTCCAATAAATGTATAGTTAAATAAATTCACGAAAAAAATCAAGTTTTTCCATTATTCACTTAATCAAGATGAACTCAACTTTTTACCCGTCTACAAATTTTTATATTATCCACAGTTAAGTGAGGTCTACGAACATGGGTCGGATGAAATTCCAGATAAATATCGTTTTTTATTAGCCAACTAAATAAAAATTGAATCTCCAAAATGAAACAAATATATTTTACAGAATTTGACCAATTGATTTAAATTAAATACACACAATAAAAATAAATGTAAAATTATAATTATCAATAATCTAAATTAGGATTAAAATTTTTAATGTTAAGTAGAAAAAATCGTAATATTTTCGTAATATAATGAAGTATATGATAGAATTTTTTTGGACAGTTTTGTGATTTTTTATTATCAAGATATCAAAAGTTTCCATCTATTTTTTTCCGTAGCATTAGCAATTTCGTAATTTTTTATCAAGTGAATATCAACATTTATTTCTTTTTTTTTTTGAAGAATTTTTTTATTGAACAAAAAAAAATTTAAAAAACTTTTGACATAAAATTGACCCGAACCACATCTAAAAATGAGTTTAAAAATCTAAAAAAAAATATCAAAAATTATCTTTTCATCCAAATAATATATTCTCAAAAGAAGAACAAAAGATAATTAAAAAAAACATTTTTTTTGTACCACCCTAATATTCTTTTTAGTACTCTTATGTGTTTTTTTCTCACATCTCTAAGAGAGATTTTCTTACCAGACTAATTGTAGATTATCATCGAAATTCGAAAACAAGCATAGTCTTATTTAAAAAATTTCAGTACAGTGAGGACGGGGTGGTCACGGGTTTACAGTGATTTTCATGAGATTTGGTCTAGTCATAATATAATTTAAAGTTTAGCATATCCTATTTTTGTATACATACAATGTTTTATTTTTTGATAAACTTTAAAAATAATGAGTTACTTTTAAGGTACAATTATATTTAAGAGATTTAACAATAGTGGAATACCATAGGTACATGTTAAACGTTTAGTTTACTGTACGAAATGTAATACAAATGATTTACAAAATATGTATAAGTAATAATTGTAGCTACAGCCCTTCCGGTCAAATACGCCATACGAATATTATTATTATTGTTAGTAATTGTTGGAAAAAATTATATTTACCTCTTCTGTGCTCTCGCTGTTAACCGATGGAGTATAAAATGTCAGACACAACAAAATAAAAAATTTTATATTCGTCATTGTATTAATATGTTATCGCTTTCAATAAGGCTACCGACTTTATCTGAAATCTACTGCACAATGATTGTTATGCTCAATAACAGGCAGTTTTATAGTAAATAGTTTTGGATGAAACATTTTTTTGAAATATTGATATATGTCGAAGACATTCACACTACAGTTCACTGCACAAACACAAAAAATTCTACCAAAGAGCGGACTATTTGTTTAACATGACATGACTGTGTTGTTGCCTCCACAGAAAACTTTTAGAACAACAATTTTCTAAACGTTTCATTGGGACTATTTTTTAGTGTCCCTTGCGCATGTAACACATGTGTGGAAATATAAATTATTTTTTGCTCATACAGTGACTTGTTGTTCTGGCTTTTTTCATCGGCGCAGAGTAAATAGTAATACTGTATTTTGTACCTATAAATCTAACGCAGGCCCTTGCCATTTGGTTTTGCGATGAGCTGTTTTTCTTTTGGATGTTTACCATCTAGCCAAAATCGTAACGACAGAAAATGATTGCCGTGTTCGTTTTTATATACCTTTATATATCTTTGGGAGATTTGCGTACATATCCAATACATTTGCATTTAACGTGTTTCCGATTTTCGTTGAGTACACCTTCGGTTGTAATACATTGTCAGATTGGTCACGTGACGGTTTCAAATTTCCCAGACCGTTGTTTTTCAAATCAGAAAATGTAGGGGGGATTATTTAAAAACAAACTACTCAACACAATTATTTTAAACAATTATTAAAAAAAAGATTAAGATAAAAATATTATTTTAACGAATATCCAAATTTCATATGAATTTAAAATACCTAGGGTAAAAAATATTTTAAAGACTGTTTAAATCAATTTATAATAATTAACTTTAAATAGTTTGTATTATTATTGTTATTCGATTGTTGTAAAAATTATAGCCAGATTTTTTTGCTTTATTCTTATTTTATGTAAAATAATATAATCGAATATCAATATTGAAAAAATTGCAAATTTAATTTATTTAATTACAAGAAGCTTGTAGTCGACATTTTGTCTGGATTTTTGGTCTAAAAAAAACCCAAATGGCTTTTCCTCATAAAAAAAATATTTTAACTAAAAAAAATACCTTGTGTAAGGGGGGGGGGGTCAACACCTCCCAATACCACTAAGAATTGGTATATCTATTGGTTACCTATCATTTAAATTAATTGAATACAATATATTTAAACAAAGAGTATTATTATTTTATTGATGTATAATATATAATATAATTTATATAAGTATAAAAAATGGCCAATATAAATAAAACAAAAATATATTGGATCAAAGATATTACAATGATATTTAAATTATCATATTTAATTTACCTAGGTAGGTACTTAAGTCTTAAATACAAATTTAAAAAAATTAATGAATAAATAATATAAAATAGAACTGAAACATACATAATATGGATTACTTTTGGATTTCAATTGTTTTTACAAAAAATATATTTTTAAAAAATTGTATTTATTCTATGATATTTCATAGAACATAAATCATAAGTAATGAGCATAAACTAGTTAGACAACTAATATATTTTGTTTTATATTTCTATTATATTAGGTCTTTTGTACTTGAGTACACGAGATTACTCTTTAATTAAAGGTGGTTATAATAAATTAATTTGTGTTAATTAAGTTATCTAATCTATAGTTTTCATATTTGTGAATAACAAATTATTTTAACATGTTAGTTTCAATAATATTTTGGTAAAAAATAAAAAAATTTAAATCAAGAAAACTTATCTCTGAATTTGATGATTTAAATTGAATTTAAAACGTTTCCATAACATTAATGTTAGTTATTGTTATATTATAACGGG